GTGCATGTAACGGGATGCACTTGCGGGTCGCGGTATTACACGATGTGCTCGGTTTTTACTCAGTGTATTGCTGCACGCAGTGCGCTTACGTCGGTCGAGCCCTGGAGCGGAGGGCACGCGGTATCGTGCTCTTTTTCGGTATCGATAGGCTAGGCCGGGCGGGCCTAGCTGGCGTGCAGCCGGAGACAGTACGGTATAGTTCGCGGCGGTCGAAATATTTCGGTGACACCTCCGGTGAGATGTGGTTCGGGATTTGGACAGACGCGCTCCGTCTATCCGGGGCGCGGCGCGGATTACGGCGTGGAAGTCCGGGGAAGTCTGGGGCATCCGTTTGCTCTGGAGGTGCAATTCCCGAAGACGGGAATGGAGCGGGCGAGGTTGAGAACTCTTGACGGAGACGGTGAACGCAACACCTCTGTTTGTCCCTATCTCCAAGTCCGCGTCACAGGCGAGAAGGCCAGGAACTCCTGGTGGAGACGGCGAACTCACCGTCCCAGAAAGGATTTTAGGATCCGGCGGCCGCGATTTCCATGGGAGAGAAAGCGTTAGCACCACTTCGCACTTGCCGCTCGGAGGGATGCCAAGTTCAGCTGTGAACTCACAGTTGTGAGGAGGCACACACCGTCGCGGTTCTTCAACCTGGGGATTGGGACCCGGAACAGCTTACGATCTATCGATCTGGCTGACTCCGATGGAATCGGCCTCTTTGCCACTGCGGAGCGGGCTTTTATATCGCTTCCGCCATGTTTTCAGGCATACCGTTATTTACAACAACGATTTGTTGTTCCGCCAGTACACATGTTAATCACGTGTGTGATGCGTGTGAAGGAATTTGTGTGGCGCAAAGCGCCTGTGGCGATCCGACGTTTGGTCGATCGTCTGCGGTGTTCGGCGGAGCGGAGGGGATACATCGTTACATAATATTCAATTAAAATTAGGGGTTCCTTTTCGACATTTTCACGTATTTAATCCTACTTGGTTAAAACATATCTAACTGTTTTGATATATCTTATTAAAAAGCAGAGAAATTTCTTCAAATCTCTAGTATATATATAGTCAATATACGTAACATATAAAATAATTATGCTCCGTAGTTTTGTCCGTATGGATAATGTAGTACCTCTCCCGTCACAAGCATTTACCAACAGTTCAAAGTGATAAAGTAAAAAATGAGTGGCGCTATTAATGTCGCAAGCGTCACCCGGTCCCGAGCGCCTACGCGTCGATCCGCCAGTGTTTTTCTGTTACACATTCAGATTACTCTCTTTTTGCTTACTTTATTTTTACAATTTTATAGTTGTATCTAGTATTTAAGATGCCTAAGCATAAACACAGGCACCATCACCACTTGGGAAGACGATCACGGGAACCGGTTTTGAGAAGTCGTTTCCGAGAATCCCCTTGTCACGCGGAACATGAGCCAAGGCATTCGGGGATGTTAGATCTCACAGTACCTCGCGAGACGATTCTCGCAGGCCCTCATCGCATCCAGACTAGTTGACTCCCGCTATTAAAGAGATCTTTACATTTATGAAAAGTCGCGGTGTTCAGAAAAGTTCTGAGACACCTGTTTCAACATATATTCCAGCAGAGGACAGTTTTCCTTCTCTGGTGGGCGATGGGGAAGTCGCTCATTCAGAGATCTTTATGCAGATGGGCAGACGGTTTTTCAGAACAGGGGCGGCAAAACAGGTATGTTCCTTCTTTATGGCATAGAAGAAATATAAGCGATTGCTCTATCTGACCATGCTTTTTCCTATTCGTAGAACAGCAGCAAACGACCACGATTTTTTCGAGGTATCTTCTCAAATGACCATTAGGGAGATCCTTGAGTCGAACAAGGAAAATGACTCCACATTGGCGAACGAATTGTTCGGTGAGTGACCAGTAACGAGTGAGCCATCATGAAATTTAGTCATTTTTGGGTCGACTAAAAACGAAATGTGCTCTGGGTTGAAAGAAGAACCAAGAATGACCTTATTAACGAAGTATAAACTTAGGAACGCATTATTATGCCTTGACCCACCTAAGCTGAATGAGGAAATAAAGGCGGCTCTTTTGAAGTACAATAGTTTTGTAAAACAAGACGAATATCAAGTTAAGGCTCAGCTGCAAGTTGGCGTTTGCATTAACGAGTTTGGCTCCGGGATATCTGACCTTCTAAAAATTTATCAAGGGCGACTTATAGAGGAGAGCGTAAAAGCTGCTGTCTCAAACCTGGCAGAAAGAATTCATCTTCTGGCGGACCACCAATACAGGTTGTCACTTACCAAACAATCTGTCATTATGCCATGTCTCACATATGTGGGAAAGTCCGCAGCTGATCATTCGTCGGTCGATGAATGGCTTTTTGGCTCGACGTTCACGGATGAACTTAGGTCAGCTCAATCCTGTGAAAAATTAGAAAAAAGTCTTTCGAGAGTTCCTCCAGGCCCAAGCACGTCGACTGCACCTCGTTTCCAACAGCAGCCGGCTAAATAGCTGCTAATCTATGAGAGAAATTTCACGACCCTTGTCCCAAGATTGACAAACTGGGTTTGCAAACAAAAATTTTTATTAACAAAATAGCCATTAACAAAATCAAATGGGAGTTATATGGCACAAATGGAAATTTTGCATCATTTAACCAGAGATTTCGAATGTTAAATTAAGATATTATCTAATAGTAATCAGGCTCATATTCGCCGCTCAGGAGAACCAGTTCGGAAAATTTTTTTAGATGCATCTCTGTCGGGCTGGGATGCTTCTTGCAATGAGTCGTTTACTCATGGATAGTGGTCAGTAAATGAAAAATCTGCTCATATAAATTTTCTCGAGCTTAAGGCTGTTTTCTGCGCTCTAAAATGTTTTACGGCGGAGCTTTTCTATTGCAATATTTTTCTTCGAATCGACAATACGACGGCGATCTCGTGTTAATCGTTTCGGATCTACTCAATATCCACATTTAATACTTTTGGCGAAGCAGATCTGGACATGTCGCGAAAAACGTAATATTTTCTTGTTTGCATCTTGCATTCATGTTGCAACCATTGATAACTCTATCGCTAATCGAGAATATAGAGCGGTTAGTCCAGATACGGAATGGTCTTTGTCGCAAGCAGCTTTTTCGAGGATCTTAAAACAATTTGCTTATTCGATATTGATCTATTTGCATCAGTCATTAATGCAAAATGTAGAGTTTACGTGTCATGGTTTCCGGATACAGGCTCTGTAGAGGTGGATGCGTTTACCTTCTCTTGGTCGCAAATAAAATATACAATAAATACCCAGAACTTTCTGTTTCCTGACTACGAATTTATAAATTGCCGACGTTACTGTGCATGCACGTAGTTTTGTTGAATCTCGGAAGAATAACCGTCTTCAAAGTTAAACTTAATAATTAACAAGAAAAAAGTTCTTAAAATGTTTGACAAGTGACGTACGTGCGAGATTGCGTCCGCGGTAATGGAGGCGTGCACGCGCGCATGCACGTAGTCTTGTTGCATCGCCGATTGAAAACCTACCTGTCCTTAAAGCTAACCGTAGTAATGAGCAAGAAAATCAATTTAAAATATTTGACAAAGAGTGGGTGTTATCGCGGTTGTTGCTGGAAGAGGACGAACGCAACAAAATTGTTTACTCGCGCACTTGCGAGTCCTAAACGTACTGGTAAGTCTGCAGATCAGGTCAAGGTCCGGAAAGGCCCATTTGCTCCCATCACAGATAGTACGTTAGGTGGTCCTTTATTTATGTCCAAGAAATTAATTTCTTCAACTGGGATAGGACCAGAGGAATATAAATTTAGGTAATTGAAAGGAGATGAATAAATAGTTTTAAACACTTGATTAAATTTATAGCATTTTGAATAAAACAGTTTATTAATAACATAATTGGTTCTTGAATAGATTAATAATAGTGGTAAATTGATAAGAAAAGTCATTGTAAAGGATACAACATTTAAGGGGTTACACCACAGTAGAAATTTCAAAAAATCGATTCTTTTTTTATTGGCTTAAAAAATCCTTTGAACCCTCTAGAATAAGAGACAAACGGTTTTATATCTGCCAGAAATCGTTTTCATTGAAATTTCGAGCTCTTTCTCGACCCCTCCCGACTGCTCCGAAACGACTACCTGCGGTAAATACGACACCTGCTTGTCGGGTACAGCATTATGTCTTACCATTCGATTTCTAACTTCTCTAATACACTAATAGATGTCGTTAGAAACATTTTCAAGCATTTTGAACACAAAGTACGTTAGTACAGCGTCCTTTGATGTTGAGAGGAGACGTAAATTTTGCGTGGAAGTTATTCGAAATCACGATTTTCTTTTGCAGTGCTAATTTTTCACACGTTATTTGTAGCCTTGACATTTATGTGAGTTACAATGAGTGAAAAGAAAGTGTATGCAAGCCATAAAGGCTTAAAAATATCGTATCAGACGCGGCGACGGAGCAACGTGACGAAACGACGCCCTTCGAACAGATATGAAGCGGAGGAAGATTCGGCCGGTGTCAGCGCTTCGGCAAAGAAATTGAAAGTGGATACTGACGATATCGATATACAAAGTGAATTTGGTTACCGAATTATAAACTTTTTTGCCGTTTTCTCTGCCATTTCGGAATATGTGAAGTGCAAAACGTGCAACTCTGATATACGATTTCTCGAATCAGGTACGCGGGGTTTAGGCTTCAAAATAACCGTCTGTTGCCCGAATTGTCCAAAAGTTGAAATCCCGAGTTGTCCATTCATACGAAATGGATATGAAATTAACCGTAGGATTGTACTAACAATGCGACTATTAGGAGTAGGGCTAGCTGGAATAATGAAATTCTGCGCATTTATGGAATTGCCACGGCCTATATTTCAAAGTTGTTACGACCGTGCAGTAAATATGATTTTGATCGCAACGAAAGCCGTGCGAGACTGTAGTATAAAAAAAGCAGCAGAAGATGAGAAAAAGAAAAGTGAAGAAAATGGATTGCATACAGGAATAACTGTATCTGGTGATAGTTCCTGGAGGAAACGAGGATTTTCGTCTCTTTTCGGGATCACATCATTGATCGGATGGTTTACAGGGAAAATTGTTGACATTGAAGTGAAATCGAAATACTGTAAAGCTTGCGAGCACTGGAAAAATAAATTAGATACTGCTGAGTATGAAGAATGGCTCGAAACTCATGCCGATCAATGTCAGTCGAACCATGAAGGCTCATCGGGTAAAATGGAGGTAGATGCTGTCATCGAGATGTTTCAACGTTCCGAAGCTTTACACGGACTTAAATACGCAAATTATATAGGTGATGGTGACAGTAAAACTTTCAAGGGGATATTGGATGCAAAACCGTATGAAAATTTTGAAGTGTCAAAAAAAGAATGTATTGATCATGTACAAAAACGAATGGGCACTCGGTTGAGAAATTTGAGAAAAAAAACAAAAAATCTTGGAGGAAAAGGAAAATTAACTATGAAATTAATTGATCAGTTAACAATTTATTATGGCTTGGCCATTCGACGGAATTCAAACTCGTTGGAAAATATGAGAAATGAAATCTGGGCGACATTATTTCATAAAATGTCAACTGACGAAAATCCACAGCACGAAAAATGCTCAGAGTCTTGGTGCGAATGGAAGAAGGCGCAAGCAACGGGTTCCTTAGACTCCTTTCATCATAAGCCGGCACTATCGAACGAAGTTTTTGAAGCCATCAGACCAATCTACGAGGATTTGAGCCGTGACGAGTTGCTGAATCGTTGCTTGGGAGGCTATACGCAGAACAGCAACGAAAGTTTTAATTCTACAGTCTGGCACTTGGCTCCTAAAAATTATTCAAGCGGAAAGAAAATATTACAAATAGCAAGTGACATTGCTGTTTGTAATTTTAATGATGGACTGATAAACGTTTTAAGAATAATGAAAGTGATGGTCATGAACATTGGACCACAATCCTACAACTTTTACTTAGAGACGGACGCTGCTCGAATACAACGCGCGGACCGCTCTTTGACGGACGCAGCGAAAGAGGCTCGCTCCAGCATAAAAGCGTCCAGGAAAGAAAACGAGGAGGAGTTTAGCAACCTGGAAGGTCAGCTTTACGGTGCTGGAATAGCAGATTAAAGGTAAAAAATTTTTAATAATCCAAATTTTTATTTTATTATGTTTGAAACACGAGTCAAAACTTTAAACGCGTTTTTCTCGAAACACGTTTTTTCAAATCGGCACGCAGCATAACTCAAACAATTTTCTATTTTTTCACTCCAAATTAATATCACATCTTTAAAACAACATTCCGCATAGAAATACGTAGCCGATTTTCGATAAGTTAATATTTCGATTTTTTAGGTACAAATAAGTGCCCGTTTTTTGGTAGTAAAATGAACTTTTTTTTTCAAATGCTCGCCAATTTAACAAAAATGTATATTTTAAAAATCCCCTACGTATTTCTATAGCTATACTAATGTTGTTTAAGAAAAAATTTTTTATTTTGTTCCAGATTAATTTTTGCTGCACTTCTACTGCGTGCCGCGGAGCCCCTCCAAAAAAAACCGTTCCGCAGAAACGGCTGTTGGGCAGCCAGTTTATTATTATTTTGTAATATTTTTTAATAAACAAAATTTTTTTTAAAACTTCAAAACATGCTTAACAACATCCTTAAAAAAAATTACCCTTTTACTTTTCCTTCCACTTAAAAAAAAATCGCAAATAAACGTTAAATTTTCGCTCTCTACTGTGGTGTAACCCCTTAAACAATCAAATGGTTAGCTAAAGTTAAACAATGAAATATGAGAGTTAACATTAAATAAACTTTTATAAATCAGCATTATTGGAATAACGCTAATACAAAATGAAGATTAAAGTGAGATTAAGAAAAAGGTAAATTGTGTGACTTAATTTAATACAATCGGATATAACGCAATAAGAATGTTTAACATATCAGTATAGCGGGGAAAACATTGTTATATAATACAAAGTAAACAATAATTACGCAGTGCAGGTGTGTGTTTTGAGGGATGAAGTGAAACTGGAAATTGGATTGAAATGATTAAAAGTCATATTTATATATGAAATAGAGGCTTACGATTTAGATGAATCAATAGATTGACGAGAACGAAGGCTGGACTAGACTATGTCTGTAGACTACTGAAGACTGAACTAAGACTGACTAACTAAGAACTGACACTAAGAACTGTAACTGTGACTGCGACTGTAACTCTAATTGTAACTATAACTTGAACTGGACTGGACTGAATTGTACTGGAATTGAACTGGATTGGACTGCGCTTGAACTAAACTGAACTGAACTAGACTGGACTGTACTGTATTGAGCAGCAACTGGAACTGTAATTGTAACTGCGACCGTGACTGTCACTGACTGACTGACTGCAAAAAAACTACTATTGTAACTACGACTGTGACTGTCACTGACTGCAAAAGAACTACTATTGTAACTGCGACTGTGACTGTCACTGACTGCAAAAGAACTACTATTGTAACTGCGACTGTAACTGTCACTGACTGCAAAAGAACTACTATTGTAACTGCGCTCGCGGCAAAAAGGGTAAGGCTTATATAGGAAAGATTTCAGGGGGTGGTGGATGACGTTCACCAATGAGAGGAGGTTGCGTGGAAGACGGTTACTCTGGAAAATTCCTAGTATTGACATAAATAATCTTAAGAACCTAATCTCATAGAAGGGCCTTTCTTCTACCGACTGTGTACAAAGGTGGATAGATCGCAGCCCCATAGGGAGCCTTATGACATATGTGGGCGGCGTATACTCGTATCTTTTCATAAACCGCTTGATCAAATCTGTTTGTTTTACAATCATAAGAGAAGGAATTCGTTGCTATCTAGGTACCCAGTATGGACACATACGTGCCTAACGTAGAGGCGGCAAGATATCATAGTTATATAAAAAAGGAATCTATCATCCACAGGGTACCCAAGATGTAAATAAACTACATACCTTACATGAAAGCGGAATGAATGATAAACGCATTAGGAATCATACGGCACGTTTAGCGGCGGCCAATGTAATATTATCTTGGTTACAGTAGCGCTTGCCCGAAGTCCGTCTGTTTCCAAATCATATAATTAAAAAGAGATATTCGTAGTTTCCGAGACACCCAGGACGTAACAAAAGGAAATAAATGAATAAATATACCAACTTAGTTAAATTTAGGGCATTTTTAATAAAACAGTTTATTAATTATACTAATAACATAATTTGGTTCTTACATGGATTAATAATAGCGGTAAATTGATGAGAAAAGTCATTGTAAAAGATACAATATTTAAAAAATGAAAGAATTTGGTTAAAGTAAAACAATGATAAATATAAATTAACAATAAACAAACTTTTATAAATCAACATAATTGGAATAATGCAAATAAAAGAAGAAGGTTAATGTAAAATTAAGTAAAAAGTAATCCGTGTAATTTAATATAATATAATTGAATTTAACGTGACAAGAATGTTTAACATTTCGGTATGGTGAAAAAAACAACATTATACAAGGAAGATAATAATTACGCAGTATATGTATGTGTCTAAGAAGTGAAGTGGGATTGGAGATTGGATTGAAATTATTAAAAGTCATGTATAAATACGAAATACAGACTTACAGTTTAGGTGGATCGACTGTGTTGAATAGTACGTAGAACACGTGTTCGTTGATTGTATTGTTCCGAATTTCTGAGATCCTTGAATACCGAAAGAAATAGTTCACTTGAAAGATCTCGACTTGCACAGCGAGTTACTCAGCAGCAGAAGAAGAAAAAAACTGTGCAGTAGTAAAGAAAGTAATGTTATTGGGAAAATTTTGAGAGTGGGAGATGACGATTGCCAATGAGGGCAAATTTTTTGGAAAAAAAATATGGAAGAAATTGAGAAGTTTCCCAATGCAGATTGTGAAACGGATAGTTTGTAAAATTTTTGATATTATCAGAATTTCATAAATAATCTTAAAATCTATATCCTATTGAAGGGTCTGAGTTTGGTTGGCCACTTAGACTATATACTTTTCGTGAAGGCGAGAAAGTAGATAGACGCGTTGGGAAATACATGACGCATTTGATGGCGCGCTTTCATAATCATGATTTTTTTAGTAGTGTTACGATAATATTTTGCCAAATCCGTCTGTTTCTCAATCAAAAAAGATTCGTTATACACGGTATTACAATATCATTTTTTAACTTGTGCAGTTGTCCATCTGTATTACCGCAAACAGTAAGCCGTATATGAGGGCAGCGGAGAAAAGGAAGATAACAGAGCATATCCAATATTACTACAAACTATATTTGAGCGTAAAAATTGATATGGCGATAAACGGTGATGTCAGATCTACCGAACATAGGTTATTCTCTACTGGCTATAATCATCGCAATGCTGATCGTACTATATTAATAAATCGAGGCTAGGCATGCGGTTCGTCTTTCGCTGATGTTATTACGTACGTAAGAAATTAAAACACTAGGACCTCAATAAAATCCGAAAATCTCCAATATGATATATACCATTTCACACTTAATTCATAATTATCATCACCATCCATGGCACAACATCTCATGTCAGAGACTAGGCCTACTTCTCTACCTTATATATGCATGTGGTGCGCACACAGATCGTACACCTGCATATGGGACCTACACGCCGGTTTAACGCCGGTTCCGAACGGCTAAGTTGGAGAGAAGTTTCCTTGGCAAGAGATTATTCTTGGTGGTATGTCGGGCCACCGAAGAGGAGCTACGAGCGTATGAAAAATTTTCTAGTTCTGCCGGGGAGCGAACCCGGGACCTCTAGCATAGTAGACTAGTGCGCTCTCTAACATACTACGCTCGCGTTCGCGGTTGATTCATAATGGTCCGTTGAAATTAAATGTGCAAAAACTACTGTCAACATTTTTCCAGATTCACCACGCCTAACCATTATTGGCCACGCTTTAATATCACTAAAATTTAGTCCCAAAGAAATATTAAGCAAAGGTCTTAAATATTTCGTTGAATACGGGTCGGGAATGTCAATGCATTCCGGAACGCGAGAGACTTATCTTCCTATAAGATCCGCAAGATATTGAGATAATTTTAAACAGTCCTGTGAGCATCAACAAATTCGCGGAAAACATGTAAATAAATCCAATTTATTAACTGGATCATTAATTAAAGTGAATTCATTTAGTCTTCTGATCCTTCACACATAATAGCGCCAGTTGCGCAAGGAACTTGTCCCTCTTCTTTATGAGAACAGCCTGAATCTCATGAGGTGACTTGGCGATAAAATCGGCCACCACTTCAATTGTCATAATTACTTATTGGCAGCAACTGTAAACATCTTGGTGGAAACGGCGATGGGATTTAACAAGCAGTAGATACAAAACCTCATGCTTGACTATGCAATGGCTGTAGTGAAGTAAGCGTTTTTATTGTTGTCGCTTCAAAACTATAAATATAATATTTTATTGTCTCGCATATATACGGAGAGACTTCTCAATTTCCCTTTTTCTTTCTCACAAATAAACACAGATGCACGTTCAAATCTGTTTTTTAAATTCCATAGACTGAACGAAATTGTGCACAGAAAATAGTTTAACGTACCATTACGATTGGATCAGTTGTTCAACTTCTTGAAGTTCGTTAAGCCGCAGAAGAAGTCACCCGATACTGTCCATCTGTTTGCGAAGATAGTGATGCAGGAAAAATGGAAAGACATCGAAGAAAAACAGGAGGAAAATACATATAAAATCAAGGGGGAAAATCAAACCAAAAGTAGAAAAGACGACATAACGACAACCAATAACAAGCTGCATTACGTTAGAGATGATCTAGACAACATCGCTAAGCAGAGCGTAGGCGAAAAGAAGCAACTTGCCTTCATAGAGATGTTATTGAATATGAGGAAAAATGGTCAGATGACTGATGAGTAGATTGTGGATGAAGTCAGTATTATAATGTTCGGGGTATATTCTCAGTTTCGTGGCAATAATGAATTTTTAGATTTACCGTACATCCTTACTAAACTATTGAAATCAAATTCCATATTTGCTAATGTGTATCGCCGCGCGCGCTAACACATACGTCTCATCAAAAATAATAAATGATGAACGAATAAATAACAGGGTCATGACACCGTAGCATCCATCTTGAGTTTCGCGCTTTGTGTACAGGGATAACTTCCGGAAATTCAAATAATAACTCGCGAGTGACATTTAAATATAAATTTCAAAGAAAAACCGTGCGCAAAAATTGACTCCGTCAGAATATAAAAAAAAACATCATTTTTTAAATTATACATTTTATAGATATTTTGTAGAAATATCTGATATTAGGTGTACAACTTTGCTCCCGCCGTTTACCTATAGATGGCTTTAGTGGAACTTAGTGGTCAAAGTAAATAGATCATATACGTGATACAATCAACTTGGGCATCTGTCAACATAACCTAATAGTTACATTAGTCAATTTGTATCTGTACCATAAAGTTATCGTCAATTGAAAATGTCAGTTTACGAGCCAAATTCTCGTCATTTGCGGGAGGTTTTACTTTTCTGCTTCAATATGAAGAAATCTGCGGGTGAGGC